ATGTAGCAGAATCCATACCCTGCAGAAATTTATTCAGAGTGCCTTTAGGTGGCTGTTTCAGATCTAAGCCATTGTAAGTAAAGTTGACAATTGACAGCTTGCTGGATTACAGTTCATTGCCTTCAACCACTATATCAAACTGGCTTTATCATATAGAGTATTAGCATTTAAATAGTTATATTAAGACTTCAGAAAATCTGCTATGCAAAAACTATATAGATAATCCTTGATTTATGACTGATCATTTAATGACTGTTCTGAGTTACCATGGCAGGAAGAATGCTTTATGGCTTATACAACACTTTTAGCTGTTGTAAAATATTGCATGCGTGTTGTTTTCCCCCTCCCCCAATCACCTGACCACATTTGGTGCATTTGGCAACCAACCCACATTCATGACTGGTTGCAGCATTCCATTCTCATGTAACTGCAATCTGCAAATATTTATGTGCGTGTCTCTAATAAAAAAAACCCTATTCAGGAGAATGGATTCACATTTACGCATGTGAGTGTCTTAATTACCGGCATAAAAGGGGTAGTAAAATTAGGTCCAGTCTTTTGGGTCCCCTGAAACAGTCATGGCTTGCAACCAAAAATCCACTCCCAACTGCAGTCCTAAATCAAGGACTACCTGTGGCTCAATGGAAAAAAGTGCTTTCCATTGCTATAGGCATTCCTTGTAACTTTTGATGGTTGTGGAAACCTGAAGAACTGCTGCCAGTTTAAACAGTTTACTACCCCACTAGAAAGGGACAATTATAAGAACATGAAAAAAATTATAATTATTTTAAAACTTTCCATACTGTATCTCTAGATAGATGAGAGCTGAAAGCTAAGCAGGATAAGACCTGGTTAGTACTTGAATCAGATACCACCAAAAATCACAAGACTGTAAGCCAGAGATAGAAATTAGAAAAACATCCAAGGAGGCATCTATATATACTCCATGTTGCTTTCACCAAAAGCAAAATAGATATGACTTATACTCCCCTTGAGTAGAGTTTATTTCAAAAATATTCATTTTGTCCAACAGCCTCCTTTTGCTTTAATTTCTGTTGTTTCATAATATTGTAACTTCTCCCATATGTTACAATGCTTCCTATGAACCCAGTCAATTGCACAAATAACAGAAGTATCTTACCATTCTATAGAATTCTAATACTTAGTAGGATGGCAGCTTCAATACAAGAATAAATGGAGCACTTTTGGTGAAAGATATTTCAGGATTATGGAGAGTCAATCAAGAAGCTCCCTGCAACTTCTTATACCAAAGCTATCTTTTCCTAGTGGGGTACTGCAAAAGCCCAGGAAAGACAAAACTGCAAAACTGTTTACAGCATCATCCAAGTATCTTTACTCTTAAAAAATAAATCTTTTTTCAGCTAAAATAAAAGCATTTGCTCTCTTTGAGTCTGTGCCTTCAAGTCAGCTTTTTTGACTCCTGACGATGGCCTAGATGAGTCTCTGTAGTTTTCTTGGCAAGGTTTTTCAGAGGTGCCTTGCCTCCTTTCTAGGGCTGAGAGAAAATGACTGGCCCAAGATCACGTAGCTGTCTTTGTGTCTAAGGCAGGATAGAACTAATGGTTCCTCCCTTAACAACTTCATCAAGCTGGTTCTCTGCAAATGATAATTGGGGGGGATCACTCCCTCCCCAAATAACTGATTTTTTAAAATGGAGATATGTGGCATAAAAATTGAAAAAAAAAGTATTAAGGTTGGCCAAGAATCTAGGAAATATTTCAATTTTCATTTGCTTTGGCTGAAGATCCTGGCCACATTTGGAAAGCAATTCCCAATAAGGAGTATAGAGTATTCTAGTCTTTAGGGCACTAAAATGAGATGCTGTTGTCAGCTTTACTTTCAGGAGATACAGATAAAGCTGGCAACAATAAACATTTGCTGCCATCCTCAGTATTGTTCTGCTAACAGACTACAGGGCCATCCCAAAGTGCCAGAAATGTCATTATCTAGTCAGCTAAGTGACTTTGATAAGGGAGTAAATTGTGTGGCTATTGAATCTGCAGTTGTCATTAAGCCAGGAGGGTGAGCTCACCATACAGAAAACAGAGACAAGACTAAAAAATGATATTGGCAGGATGGAACAATGAGCTGCATTTAGTGTGAGCTTGAATTGAGCTACCAAAAATTAAAAATGGAAGCCAGACTACAGTTGCATTAATGAGCTGGGTTGCCATATAAACTGATTTAATAAACAATTGGACTAAATGAATACATATTACATGGGGTCTTGATAATACAGATGGTCTTCACTTAACAACCACTCATCTGTAACTTTTTGAACTTACGGTGGTGTTGAATGAAGTTCCAATCATTACAGCATCCTGGGGCCATATGATTGCCATTTGTGATCTTCATTGCTGGCTTCGGACAAGCAGACAATGAAAAGACCGCAAGAAGCGCAAATGGCAGTCTTGGGGTGTCTTGGGATTTGCTTAGTGATGGCAATTGGGAATGCCAGAATTTCTGTTGCTAGACTTTAATGCAGCTACATTTAACAATCATATTGTTTAACCCTGAAAATTCCAGTCCCAATTANAAACAGCATCTGCTACTCTGTAATCCTTTTCATCACTGGGCTGTAGCTGGACGACTACACTTTCTTCCGTCACTCCATTCTCCGCATCGCTACTGTCAATATCTTCATTTCCTTCCTCCTCCTCCTCCTCCTCCTCCTCTTCCTCATAGTCTGAAGATTCCGTCATATTTGGATGAGAGTATGACTCTGATAATGCCCCAAAAGACTGAGTGCTAACTGAAGCAATCGGCCTAAGCAAAGGGGTATTCTCAGAGACTTCATTCTCCTCCTGACTGCTGTCTGTTTCAGAATCTGAATCTCCCTGAGAAGGGACCACTTTCTGTTTACAGACAGGACACGTTTTCTTCGTTTTAGTTAGCCAAGGATCCACACATTTGCAATGGTAGGCTGCCAGAAAAAAAATAAAAAGGTAGGGGAAGGAGAGAGAGAGAGAGAGAGAGAAAGAGGTGTTTGAAGGAGACTGGAGAAAATGGGCAATTATAGGCAGTTTGGGGATAATTTTACATGTTTTATGATAATACATAAGGCACTCTGCGCCACCCACATTCAGACCATTTTTTTTCTCTAGAAGCCGGTTTACTTCTGAAGAAACTATAGATGCTACTTATCTGTATGTTTTTAAGTTCTTGCCGCTTAGGCATTATCCTAATTGTACTACAGCGCAGTAGCCCCATTGCTGAATTTAAGAACTGTGAAATAATGTTGGGCCTCTGAATAGTCTTACATTTTCAGGTGATGGTTATTATTCTATTATAATGCCTACAATCATAAGATGCAGTACATAAAATAAGTTAAACTGGCCCTTCTACCTACATCTGCAATCAAACATTGTGCTCCCTATACTAATTTCTACTACTAATAGTTGAATTTCAACTATTATGAAAAATTAAGTTCAACAAAAATCTGTGTTTGTGGAAAGCTATAAATGTGGAATTTATGGAGCACAAACAACACAGAATCCACTAAAGTAAATTATTTAGCTATAAGCAATGTCACATTTTTACCTGTAAGCAAGCCACTGATCTGTACTTTCAAATAACACTCATGACTTGGATCTCCTTGGATTATCATTTCAAAATGCAAACTGAAAATAGCATAATTGAGTTTTTAAAAGGTAACAAATGCTGACCTGCTGAATCAGACAAAGTCTAGTCAGTCCAGCTATTCTATTAATCTCTTCGATAAGATGAAAACTCTCAGCCAGTACATAATATTTTATAAATATGCATTTTGGATGCAACAATTTAATATTAATATTTAAAATGTTACCTGTTTCAATCCAAATATACAATCATCTAGGATGCTGATAACACTGTTAAAATTCCTACAAATATAGGAATAAATTTCTTTCTTACATGCTACACCCTGACTTTATTATATTCTAAACTGTAACAGTAATAAATTTAATATGTCTTTGCCCAAGATGGCTGGCAATTCTTGGAGATGTAATCACAACAATTATGTAGGAACCAGCCTTATTATTAGTTTAATTTTAAAAAAACTGCATTTACAAATATACAACATTTGGTTTCTTGTCTATAAGAAGCAAATCATCCCTCACCAAAACAAGAGTTCAACAAATAATCCAATGTAGCTACTTACCATGAGAACAAGGAAGAATTCTGAGTTTATCTCCATCCTCATATTCATCCAAGCAAATGGCACAAACATCGTANATTTTTTACAGTTACACTTCTATATAATGAAGTTCTTTTCATGATACAGTGTAAGTAAAATCCTGTTAGCTATGAGCACTCATTTTCAAATTCAATATATAGTTTGATTTATTTCTCTGCATAGTTTTTAACCAAGCTAATGTAGTATCAGACATTCTTATTACAAGATATAACTCATTTGTGAATCAGTACTGCACATAAAATTGCTTCCAAATATGGCATACGCAAAATTAAATGTTCTAGTAGGTGGTGTGCTTTAAGGTTGCCTTTCTGCATTGGTCCCAATCCCTGTCTGAAGAAAGCTTATTAGCCATGTACGCTAGTGAACATGGGGGTTTTCCTGTTTATTTCCTTAAAGATGGGTTAAGCTAAGTCATGTTGAGATTCCTTTGCCAGGTGCTTGCAAACACAACAGGATAATGAAAAAGACCGTCAAAATCCTTCAGAGCTCAAAGCTCCAATTCCTCTGTTGGGAAATACTCTTGGCAGACAAATACAGAACAAGCATATCTTGCTCTTTAAAAGGTGCTGGTTCTTGTAGAGAAAGCCTTCACAGACATAACACCCATACATTTTTTGGTTGGATGGATGTTTAGGGTAGTACTTACCATACGTTTAACAAATAACCGAATAAGTCACTGCTTACTTACACTGCTTACTTTTCCCTTAGCAGGGAAAACACATGTACGGTCTCGGTTCAACTTCATTTAACAAGATGCTGATATGCCTCTTTTGTGAGGGTGCATTATATTTAGTGGTGGAAGCCCCGTTACTAACATTGTGAAGTCCTGTTAAAATGCTTGTCTTCAAAAGACAAATCGAATAAACAAAAAGAAAAGAAACCTGCAATGAGATTAAACTATAGAATGCTATATGAACAGGTGCTTCTAGTGAAGCAATGGAAGGGCTGCAATGCACTTCTCTTATGTACAGGTACATAAGGTGAGAGGTCTCTGGGGAGAGGAGTTCATGTAACACTGTAACATTTTGCAGTTCAAACAGCATCTGCTACTCTGTAATCCTTTTCATCACTGGGCTGTAGCTGGACGACTACACTTTCTTCCGTCACTCCATTCTCCGCATCGCTACTGTCAATATCTTCATTTCCTTCCTCCTCCTCCTCCTCCTC